TGAATAGATAGAATACAATATTGCGAGAAAAACAAGCTTTATTTTGAAAATTAAAATGTGAAACGTGTCAGAGAATAAAAGTTTTATTCATACAATACAATCGTACTAACAAAGACGGTCTCCGTGATTCAATAGTTAAAATTTTAGTTTTGAGGTCGTCAGTTTGAATTCTGGTTAAACGAGATAACATGATTGTTATAGCTTCGGTCAAGCATGGCACAGTCTACTTGGCCAGGCTTGAATGCTATACTCGTTGTTAAATATACCCTGTTGTTGTAGAAATGGTGTAGAAATACATTTTAATCAGACGAACTTTTCAATTTACAAAAGTAAACTTTACAACCATGTAACACATACCATAGAATAATATAGTTACCTCTGCAAAGTCCACACAATTATGTTAGGACTAATGTCCCAACACTGATATTTTGTCGTCCGATCAGAGACCGTAACACAAACGAGATAGTGTAATATTTTGTCAATTATATGTAAAATCCCGTTTCCCCTGGAGGGGCATAGGGCAAACACATTTCTGTGTCCATTTCACTGATTTATTTACAGGCAAGATTAGACTTCTGTGCCGTGCCCCGACCAAAACAGTTTACTTCAAACCCAGGACCTCTCGCTTAACGCAATGGTAGGCAACACGTTTAACCAATTACCTAGAGAGGCGGTCAATATCAATTATATAAAAGTACAAAAATGTAACCAATTTGCACCATTCTCCAGAGAACGAAAGTTTTGTTTTAATAATATATTACAAACTGCAAATAAGGTCGGTCTGTTGGCAGGTATTCTGTCTGTGAATTGTGTCAGTATACCAAATCGTTTCTCGTTATTTACCGTCCCCCCTTCCTCACGACAATAACCTCAAATCAAATGCATTACGTTTTAAATCGTCGCAACTCGAACGGATGCAGTTGAAACATAAATCTTGTTAACGTGATAAGTTTGTCCCCCATTGGACATCGGTTCGAGATGGGACAGACTTATATTAGTATGGACTTGCGGTGTGTAATACTTTTTTTATTTAGGATAAAATGGCTACTGAAGAATAGTTTGTTTTTAAATATTGTCTTTACGCGAGTAGTACACTTATACAACATAACGGTTTAAAACACGATATACTAGTAAAACTTATTTGAAAATTATTTTCACTTCGGCCCGATGTTTCGGATGCTTTGCAGCAGCCATGGTCACGGGGAGACTAAAGGAGGATGTGTGTGTTTTTTGTCATTACAGGCAAGGATGGGGTTACTTGATACAAGATAGAACACTCTAGCCATATAACATTTTAAGTTTAAACAATATGAGGTGTTGATCCATTTTAGCTTCGAATATTCTGAAATCTACAGACTGATATCGAAACGTGATTAAATTTGCCGGCTTTTCTATGGCCCGTGGTTCGTGACCCGCACGGAATTCAATATTCCTACCGCCCATTTATTAATGTTTCATATTAAATTGATAAGTATTTTTTTTTTCAATCTGTCGATGTTGAAGGTCTTAAAGCTATTTTTACACCTAAATTTTAGTGCGAAGCGAAACTAAACTTAGTCGTAAACCCAGCTTACTTTGCTAGAGTAATTAAAACTTGATTAATTCCTTCATAGATTTCAGAGAAGGATTTCAAGTTTAAACTGAGGTTGAACACAACTGTTGCAAACGTCGTGTTTTTCAGTATTTTTCATTAATTTATTTACCTTTTTTTTGCACCAAATAGAAGGATAATTGATCAATATTGAATTCTAGAAGGGAATGATTTTAAGCTTAATAACTTATCTGTGATCTATTCTAGGCAATATAAAATCTATACTGATATTATAAAGCTAACGAGTTTTATTGTTTGTTCATTTGTTTGAACGCAATAATCCCAGGAACTACTGGTTCTCAATGATTTTGTGTTGGTTTTTATTATTGACTGAGACCAATAGGAGCAAAAAATAAACAGGGAAATGTGGGAAAACTGGGGACTACAATTCATCTTGAAGCTCTTTCGTTGCGTGTGCTGTGAAAACGGTTCAATAAACCAAAAAAATATATATACGATGCAATTATTCTCCTTTGAATCATCTAAAAAAATGCCCGCGTATATGTCTATCGTTTGAGATTAACTCGCAAACTTCGGGACACGGACGACGTCGTAGGTAACAGCTATAATTTATAAAGCTGGAGAAGGTTTTTTGCAAAAATAATTATTCTGCGCCGACGCAGTCGAGGCAGCTAGTCGAATATACATAGTAACAGTTTGGTCCTTTTTTCTCAATTCAAAAGAAAAGTAAATATTATGTTTGGATTGGTGATGACTTTTGATGTCATCAAATATTTCCATACCTTGGCAGTTAAATTGACTTTAATATCGATTCTTTATTTTAGTACGAACGTACATAATTAAGAAACAATATCCAGAAGACTAAAAGCAAATATCAAAGTAAAAGCGTTATAATTACAGTATAAATCTCTAAGGATTTTCGCGGCCAGATTTAAGATAGAAATCATTTATTATTCTAAAGCCGTTGGGTACCGTGTAAAAATTGAAAAAACCATCAAAGTAATGAAGCAGAGACGGAACGTAAATCTGCTTAACGTGACGACGTGAATAATGTTCCGAACGCGTCGCTTAAAATCACTTGTTTACATCAACCCGGCCCTGCAGCCACGGCAACACTTTATAAAATGTATTATTAAACGCTTACATAATATATACACTATATATACTATATGTGGTATTTGTTCAGTAAATAGTAACAAATTTCATTCAGTGAGTCTCCGTGACCACGGCTGCTGTGAAGCATCCGAAACGTCTGGCCGTAGTTAAAATAATTTTTGAATAAGTTTAATTTTTATTTATCGCGTTTTAGACCGTTACAGTGTGTGCATTTATGTAAATACAGTCATGTATTTTAGAGCACTATCACTGAATGCTGTGAATGCCCGTTCATATGCTGCCGGTGTCGCAAATATTTTTCTAAAATCGATTTCTTATTTATACAGTCATATATTTCGATTACTGACCCAATTTTAAAGGATGATTCTCAAATAGCGAAATAAAATTGAATTTTTTTATTAGTTATTACGTCGTTGGATAACAATCTTTGTTAACCTTTGTAACCGGTTGTTATTTGTGAATTCCATACGTAATTCTTTTTTAAATTATATTTAAACAATGGACATGTCAATAGTTTGAATAAAATCGCGTTTAACGGTTTAAAACGCGAAATATATTAGTTGACTTATTTATAATTTACTTTTTGATGCTTCTGCCCGCGTGACCCGACGTTGTTGTAAAGCATACGAAACTTTGGGCGGTAGTAAGATAAAATTGTAAGTTAATATATATATATATATATATATATATATATATATATTGTGTTTTAAACCGTAAAAGTGTTTTATTCAAATGTATATATAAAATACATTACAATAATGCAATTGGAGTTTACAGAAATCGAATAATACATATTGTAATGGCGTCGCTAATGCGACAGCAACAAAAATGCTACATTAAATGTAGGTATTCGCAGTGAGCGTGGTGTAAATTGTAAACACGGAATAATCTAGCAAGCTCTCTGCTGGAGATTAAGGATTATATTTTCCCTAAGTAAAAAGGGTTGTTCGAAATAAACGTAAAAATGTTTTTAAGAGATTCCTTGTTGGATTTGTGTAATCTAAATAATGTAGTTGGAACAAAACACAAGCGCATCGGATTAAAGTAATGGAAATTTATTTCTTAACTAGCAGTGCCGGCGACTTTGTCCGCGTAGAATAGTTATTTTTGCTTATGTATTTTTTGGGTATCTTTAATGATACCACCTCAAAGATAAATATATATTTTCCCGTTTTTTCCATATTTCCATAAAAATATTTTTTTCAATTCAAACCAGCAGTTTCTGAGATTAGCGCGTTCAAACAAACAAACTCTTCAGCTTTCTATATTAGTATAGATACACGGCCAATTTGTATTAGTTACGGCAGCTTTTGTCGTAAATGACGTAGACATGTTTCCTCAGAGGTCAATAAACCTTAAAATTATTATGAGTTTTGCGAGGAATCTTCGAAATTGATTTGTAAAAACTCCTGTTTATTTGCTTTTGCTCTCAGTTAAACGTTGACGTTTTTTTATGAACCATACATTATATATAATCAATTTACAATATATTATTTTCGGTATATATGTAACGGTTTAAAACGCGAAATAAATTTGGTACCCCGTACTCGTCCACTGTGCCTCCTGCAAAACAACTGTACCCGAGGTAACACGTTTAAATAAATTGTAAATAAGTTAACTTATATATTTCGCTTTTTACAAGTTACATTATAGACATTCTATTTTTGTAATTTTAAAGAGATTTTAGACATGTATATATTTTAAAAGCTGAAATTAGGGTTTTGAGAAAAATAACAATATTTTTCTAGTGCACAAAAACGTATGTCGTGCTTTTGAGATACAAAGTTATAGAAGTGAGGAATTCTACCTATATACTTAGCACTGGCTTTGCAAACTAAATGGTTAAAACATTAAATGGTTGTGTCGCACGTTTTTTTTGTTTAGCAAAACATCAGCATAATTTTTTTCTTAAAAAGCAGTGCTAAGTTTGGGGATATTTATAGACCCGACCGAGAGTTTGATCTGCTGTAAAATTATTAATAACAATGGTTTAGATTAAGAATGGAGAATAAATTGAAAAAAAATTCAACTAGGGCTAGTTGAAAATTCAATTCGCGCAATTTGTTAGAGCAGCAGCACGCTGACGATGCCGTTACAAGTCCTGCCCGAGTCAAATTTTTTTGAAAATTTATTTCCGATTTATAATCTCTATAGTGCCATCATAACATAAAAAAATATAAATGTTTTCAAACAATGCTTTAATTAATATACTACGCGTTTGAGAGTTCACAACTGCTATACCATATATGAAGAATCCATCAGAATATAATCGAATTTGTTACAGAGGTGGTGCTAGATAATTCGAGTGATGTAGCGGTCAGCGTTCGTCAGGATGGATCAATGGGTGACAGCAGCGAGCTCGCTGCTGGCGTTCCTGCTCTATTACAACACGCTTGACGCGGGATTCGTTTACGATGACAGGTAATAACCGCACTGTACCTGTATAGGTCTCTAGGGTTTGCGTTTAAGGCTGTGGTTGGTTATAAACGCTGATAAATATACACAACCAAAGCACACAACAGTACACTACAATAGAAGTATAATGCAATCAATAGATATAATTACTGATCGATCTTTAAATGAACTAAATGCATATAATGATCTCATAGATCAAAACACACAACAATCATTCTAAAATATTCATGTAAAAAATGTTGTTATTTCTTCTTCGTATTATAAATATATTTTATACTGCAAGGATAGGATATTGAATCTTGAATAGTGGCGTGTGGTATTACTAGTATTAATAGAGAAACAAGCCATAGTAGTGAGTTCGAGACCCGCTTGTGCCATACATTTTCTTTTACAAAAAATAATTTTTAAATTATACACCGATTTGTTATAACACATTTCTTATGTAAGATTATTTATGAGTCCATTATATAAAAGTGATAATTTATAGTTTATTTCAGCCTTGTCTTTTATTATTGTACTTTTTACTTATTGACCTTATGGCAGTATAAAAACTTCATAATTAAAAAATTGAAAATGAATTGAAAAAAAAATTGACTCGGGCAGGTAGCTCAAGCTCGCTGTTGCTCTACCAATTGAGCTACCGAGTCAATTGGTAGAGCTAGGTAGGTTTAAACAATGGTTTAGATTAAGAATAGAAAATAAATTGAAAAAAATTTGAAAATTCAATTAGCGCAATTTGTTAGAGCACAGAACGATGCCGGTTCAAGACCTGAGTCGAATTTTTTAAATTTTTTTTTTCGATTTTTAAATTATATAGTGCCTTCATGTGCAAACATGTAAAAAATAATAAAGTTTTCAAACAGTATATAAACATTATTATCACAGTTTTAAGAAAAGATAGACAACATTTTTTAATATGAAATATATTTTTGTCTCGTTTGTATGTCTCCTTTATTCACTTTAATATATACAATCTAAGTCGCTCACGCGTTGTAACTTCTATTTATGAGAGCTTCAAACATAACCTCTTAAATATTATTCCACGAAATATGATAAGCCCGTTACCGATTTCTGGAACCAAAGCCCTTAGCAATTCCCGGTAATATTAAATAATTAAAACGCTTAAATATTGTATCATTAAGTGCGATTCGAAAGTTACGTAATTCGAGAAAGGATGAAGAGCTCGTTAAAATAAATTTGACTTTAATAACAATGATTGTTTTAATAACGTTTCGATGTTAATTGCGAACGCTAACACAGGCATCGATTTGTAGAGGCGAGTAATAAGGCCGCGGTCTGATCATCAATGCTGTAAATAGCGATTACTAGCTGACCTAGCAAAGTTTTGTTGCCATATGAACTATTACGACGGAATTTTAATAAACGGTTCCCGTGAGTCAATCTTAAAAGATAGATATATGCTGTCACAGATTTTTTTAATTACTCAGAAAAAAAAATCTTTTATACCAAACTTTTGGATTCTTGAACCGCATACGCAGCGCATGCCACGGCAACCCTCAAAGATAAATAACTTTCCTGGTTTTTTCACATTTTCCCTGTGCTTTGCTCCTATTGATCACATCATAATGTTTAATAGCCTTCCTCGACGATGAACTAAGACAAGAAAAAAATATATACTCGGACAAGTAGTTCCTGAGTTTATCGCTTTCAAACAAACTTTTCAGCTCTACAATATTAGTATAGATTAGTGGTCAGTGAAGATTTATGCGGCCTGTTTTTCAACAAAATTTTGAGTAGTAATGCAATAAATCAAATAACTAGAAACAAAGCAACTTTGTTAGTCTCGCGGTCTACACCATCTATAAGAGACTAGATCCTAAAAGCGAGTACTAACGAGGTGTGGGAAGTAGACAAACAACTTAATTATATATACTTAGAAGTTGCTAATTCTGTTTGTCTGTTGGCTCGTTCAAGACGACGAGAACTTGTTCGCTCGATTTAAAGGTAGATAAAACGTGAAAGCTCAGAAAGAAAGATCAACAAGAGTTAGTTTATTAGTTTTTAGTGAGTATTTTTAGTGAGTGTAGTAATTTTATTTTTAAATTCTGTACATCGAATACTGTCTGTAGTTTACGCGAGTAGTACACATTTTAATAAAACACTTTAACGGTTTAAAACGCGATATATAAGAATATGAAACGTCGGGCCATAGTAAAAACACAACGGGAAACAGTTCAAAATAACCTAGAAATATGTACGAATGATTTCTCTTTGAGTGAACTAAAAAAATATCCGCAACAGTATATGTAAATAGTTAAGATTAACTTGTAAGAGCGCCGGGTACCTATTAAGATGAAGAGGTGGTTTGTAAAACTAATTTTGATGACTCAAATACCTATTCTACGGGGACGAAGTCGCTGACATAGCTAGTTTAAAATAAATTATAAAACGTTAACTGATATATTGCGCGTTTTAAACCGTTAAAAGTGTCTTTTTATTATGTACTACCCTCGTAAACAAGTCGTTTGCAATAAAAACTAAACACCAACGATTATTAACACATAAACAAAACCGGAGTTGTCCTAAGTACAACAATGTTCTAGGAATCAGCTGTAGTGACAGATGCAGGCTATTTGCTCCCTACATATTGAGATGTGAGTGCATCTTAAGATCCTACTCCAGCTGCCTCGTTGATATGCGAAGCTCTGCTTACGGCTTCACTGTGTCGCTCTTTCTCATAATCCGCTTTGCAAGCCTCGCTTGGATTAACGTTTAAATTCTGAGCCATCAGAGCGATATTCATATTTACATTTTAATTAGTTTGAACTAAGGACAGAACCCCAAGCATGTCTGTCCTTCTTTATCTTAAAAAAAGAATATCCAAAGGTAAAATAGATCGACAGCACATCAAAAATGGTTTTGATGGGCTCCTTTGTGCAGTGGTAGCAATGTATAGCTAGCTGATAATCAGCGTCCAGTCCCCATTGGGTACAACATTGTTCTAATCTATTAATAATTTTTCTGAAACGTGTTGGACTTCGTCCGAAAATTTGGATATTAATGGGTCACCACAGATAAAAACACACTTCCACAGATAAAAAAGTCGTCGCGTTATTGTTTCAGTCTGTTGATTTGCGAATATTCAAAGCTACAGTATGTCGACATAATTATAAATCCACCCCATGCCCCACAAAGGGTAAATGCTTTTTCACAATCTTTGAATGTACGTCTACCAACTGACACTAATAAACGATGTCTTATTTCTTAAAATGTAAATAGTTTAAGTCCATATTTGTACAATACACGTATTCTAGTTGACATCCAATAAGATACATATAGAATTGTGTTAGAATAGTTGTGCCTAGTCAATTGGATGTCACGTTACGCTAAATTACATAACACAAGATAAACATAGGATCGATCAGATGTGATCACATCTCTTTGTTGTCTCTGCTATCTGACTGATTCTATAGGAAATAAAAATAAAGTACGTTATTTGTAGTCTATCGGCATAGCGCAGTGAATCACGGCCATATTCTCGCTATAATAAACTAGCTGTGTCTGAGGCTTCGTTCACGTAAAATAGTCATTTTAGGCATCAAATTAGTTTATGAAAACCTCCTGTTCAACACTAAAAATTCAAGCTGCTAACCACGACACCTTCCTCGTCCCGTCGTTCTTGCAAGTTATTCTTAAAATATAGACATATAGTGTTGCGGACCTTTTTTTGATATTTTGAAGATAATTCTTTGATACATATTTTTTTGGGTATCTTGAACCATATTTGCAGCGTACGAATATATACGATGAATAATATTCCCCGTTTTTTTCATATTTCTGTTTCTTTGCTCTATTAGTCAAAGCAGGACGTTTTATAGCCTATATATAACCTTCCTCGGTAAATGGTCTAACCAAATTAAAAATAACTTTTCAATTAAAACCAGTAGTTCCTGAGATTTGCGCGTTCAAATAAACAAACTTTTCAGCTTTATATTTTAGTATAGATTTCTTTCGTGAACAATAATGATGATGGAATCGGTGAACTTTGTCGTGTTCTCCGTGGCACAGCAAACCACTTCAGTGTTTCGTAATTGAAGGCTTACGTGACGACTGTACGCCGCAGCTGCCCCCCAACTTTCTCCGGGATAGTTTTCTGCTATCCACAACTTTATCTCAATCTAAGTTTCGGCTCGGAATGAAACTAGTTTTTATTTGAAACCATTCTGGAAAATCATGCTATACGTGGATATCCTTGTCTTATAGCTCTGGTATTCTTTTGTTTTTGTGTGAACTAGAGAAAGAAAAATATGTATCAGATTTTAGTATCCCACTGATGACTCTCAAGAAAGGGTTTAGGAGACCGAATAAAACAACTAACTAATGACAAAGGCAAGGGGATGATAACACATCCCACTACCAAATTACCACTAAACAACTACCTACCTACCAGAGGGAATACAATGGCATAATGACTTATACCGGCTAAAGCCCTTTAACCATTTAAATAAAACACTTTAACGGTTTAAAACGCGGTATATTAGTTAGTATAAACGCCTGCGTTCGTTTAATGCTAACCACTAAACGAATGTGATTGTTATATTTATAAAAGACATGCGCCATCTCTTATCGTGGTAACTGTTTTATTTGAAAAAGTACAGTAAACGAGGAGCTTTTTCCAATAAAATGGTTACCGCGATAAAAGGTGGCGCATGTCTTTTATAAATATAACAATCACGTCCGTTTAGTGGTTAGGACTAAACGAACGCAGTCGTTCATAAGAAAAGAGAAGCTATTAATACGAAAAGGAAATTCCGGTATAAGTTCAGATTACGAGTTTACGCCGTCACTGCAAATGGATTTTAATGAAAGATCAATTTTCTCGTGTCCACCAACGGCAAATTCTATTTTCTGTTCTGTTGGAATACTAGTAGGTATTATTATTGCCTCGAACAAAAAAGTCATTCACGAACAAAATACTCAGTAAAGTTTTTATGTAAATACTGCGAGGGAAGAGGCGAGCGGGGTCGAGAGGGGTCTTATTCACA